TTTTCATTTAATCTTTTATATAAAAAATTATAAATTTTTTTACACAAAAAATATAAAACTATAATAATCATTTAAAAAATAAAACAAACTATTCATTAGTTCTCTCATTTAATAATTCAACTTTTTTTATCCTATTTAAATATTTATAAGTTATTTTATCCTCCTTCCATTTTGATTGTTGGAAAATTAATTTAATACATTAGAATATTCATATTTGTATTATATATATACTCTTTCAATTTTTGGTCAATGATTTAACAAATTTCATTCGACGAAATAAAATAAAAAAAATCTCTTTAATAGAAAATAATTATTATGCACTGTCGGTATAAAATATTTTACACTGTTAACACATCACAACCATTCATAAGTAATAATTTATATGTGATTATACAAAAATTCAAACATTTATAAAAATTTAACAACTATGATTCTCTGACAATATAAAATTTCTTTACACTCTCAGTGTATTTTAATTAAATTCTAAAAAAATTATTAATATTTTTTATTAGATATTAATAATAAAATAAAAATAATAATTTCGCATGTGGTATATTAAAAAAAATTATGTATATTTCAATTTGAATGTGATACTCTCATGTGTGTCGCTGAAATTTAAATATAAAGCGTAATTATTTATTAATTTGCTAGATTTTAATTTTAATAATTATGATTTCATGTATTTTTTCAATTATTTGTGTACGTATTTTATAATGTTAGGTTTATTTTCATAAGAATATTGAGACCCAATAAGATGGATCCAGTAATATAAAGATTTGGCAAACACCCTAAGGAGGACCACTTGAGAAGAAACAAATCTCTAGAAAATTTGTAACGAAAACAGATGAGCCTGCCCTAGAAAAAGGTGGGAAAGCTGCCTCAGTTTCAAGGTGAGTTCCGTCCTTAGTGAATAATCCAACCCGATCAAGTTAACTTGACACCAACATGGAGTGTCAACCATGTAAAAGGACTTTATTACATAGACATTCAATTCAAAATATATTAATGATCATAAAGGGACAAGCAGACAGGGAATGGATGTTGATTAGTCTTAATCACTCTCATAGTTCAAATATATATATATATATATATATATATATATATATATATATATATATATATATATATATATATATATATATATATATATATATATATATATATATATATATATATATATATATATATATATATATATATATATATATATATATATATATATATATATATATATATATATATATATATATATATATGTGTGTGTGTGGATGTGTTTGTAGGTATGAAGCTATTGATCTTAACTTTAGTGAACTTTTTAGTGTTTTGATGACGACAATATTTATGCTTGTTAAAGTTGTTGGTAATATTCATCTAATTCTTTGATAATGGAGATTAACTTGAAACTTTTTTAAGCCTCGTCTAGTAAAAGATTCAAGATTCCACTTAAATGTTTATATGATTGGTATATTTAGCAAAGAAACTGTTCCGGTGTGGGCCTCACCTCGGCAGGCCCAATACCAAATACGGCCCAACAGGCGAACTGGGCACACCTGGCACACGCCCCTTCGGACGAGCAGGACCGTCCGCCGGGCACAAGCCATCACGCCGCATCCCCTTCGTCGCCCGTCACACCAGACGAGCGAGACTACCCGGGCTCCCTCCGCGGGAGAATAACGTGCTCGGCGCACGTTATCCATACGCTTCCCTCCGCGGGAGAATAATGTGCTCGGCGCACGTTCTCCACGTGCTCCCCTCCGCGGGGACACGTCATCGGCCAACCGCCCACCTCCGAAAGAGCAGGTCAAACCCACTTTCCGGAGACCTAGGAGCGGTTGAACTAGGGCGAAGACCACGTCCTGGTCTTCACTACGCCACGTAAGCCCTAGCAGTCATTAGGGTTGGGCCTGGTCGTCTGGCCCACCTCGAATGACCGTTGGCCCAGCGCTGGGGTCTCTCTATAAATACCCTCTTCTTCAAGAGGGTCAGGTAACTCTTCTTGCCCCCCTTTTCTGTACTATTGCTTCCTCTCTGTCCAACTTCTTACTTGGGCGTCGGAGTGCTTTGCAGGTACACCCCTTCCTCGTTCTTACCTCGGCGAACAGATAACCGTCCGGCGAAGCGTGGCCAGTCCGTGATCCCTCCTGATCAGGTCAGATCAGAAACTTAAAAACTTCAGAGTTGTGAAAGAGAATGAGTGTGAAAGTTTGTGTGATTATGTTTGTTTGAGTGATCAAATTCTTGTGAAAGTAAGAGAGTAACCTCTAAAGTACTGAGGCAACTCACACACATACACTTAAAACATTTTAAAACCTCCTTTTACCTAACAAAACACCTTAAAAAAATGTTTATAAGGCATAACCATGATTAGAAAAATGTCCGCCTCATTAAAACAAATTTTGTGAACTATAATTATGATAGTCTCTTACTGAATAGTAACGACTATATATCAAAATCTTTCATTTTGAGTACAAATAATCGATTATTTACGGTACCTAATCGATTAGTCTTAGAATCTAATAGATTAGGCAAGTTAATCGAGTCAATTCTCTTCCTATATAAAGATGCCTCTTCTCTTCAATTCACACCAAAATTCGAGATTTCTTTAATTCTTTGTAATGTATATCTATTTATAATTCGGTATCAAGACACGGGTACAAATATTTAAAATTAAGATTTGTAATTTTTAATCTAAATGTGATTTTCATATATGTTAAACAAACTTCTGCATTGATAGATTCAAATAAATTATTTTAATTTTAATTTATTTTTAATCATAATCAATTTTATGAAGTCAATTAATCTAAAATTAATTAAAATTATTTTTTTTCATTAGATAACCATTAAACATTCTAGAGTTTCAATAAGGTATGAGCTATCAAACTCTCCAATAAATGTGAGTCGTACATATCATTAACTTTGATTCATAGTGATATCATTTATTGGAGAAATCAAACGCGTCAAAAATATCAGTAGAATTTAGGATCCAAGAAATTTAATACAACATATTTACCTAAAATGTTAAAGCAATCAAAATATGAGTCATTTCTTTTATATATCAACATTTTATCTATAAAGCCTTAACCATTAACACTTGAATTCTACTGAGATAAATCCACCTTAAGAAAGTTTAAAAGAAATCATCATTATGCTGGTACGGGAGAGAGTGCGCAGTTTCGTTTGGATGCTACACTACAACGGTCTCAAGACCAACCTGTATCTGCATTCACTCACTCTAGCTACGAAATCCATACTGTGACGATTGTACTGGGATAGACGAAATCACAACTCACGTTATGAGAGATTGCGAGAAAGCAAAATCGATATGGCTGGAATTGCTAAATGTGAACGCAAGGGAACTCTTTTTTGAAGCCAATTTTGATGCGTGGTTACAGCTAAATATAGAAAGGAACTTAGGTAGGCAAGGAGAGAATTGATAGGCACTTTGGGCAATATCATGTCACCAACTATGGTATTGGCAGAATCTTAGAAAACATGTTGCAAAACACATTGAAGCAAGTAATGCAGCAATTGTCATTTGTGATAGATATGAATGTCAATGAGACGGGGCGGAGTACATTTCTCCATCTTTGTCCCCGCCACCAAATTCATTCTCCATCTCCGTCCCTGATCTCCGCCACGGGGGAGTTTCTATCTCTATTCCCGTTTCCCGCGAATCCCCACTCCCCACGGATCCATGTGAATTCTACATTTATCTATTAACATTTTTTTAAAATATCTATATTTTTCATAAAAATAAAAAGCACGAATATATCACATATTTATTTTGTTATTAAAAAATACTAGTATTTCACATTTATTATTTTTTATTACAAATTCTAATGAGATACAAAATAATAATATTTTTTTATAAAATTCAACAATATAAATTATAGTACTTTTTAAAGTAAAAGTATGCCAAAACTACTACAAAATTCAACAACATAAATATGTTTAAAAACTATACTTCAATAAAACTAGGAAGCATTCTCCATCCCCGTGCCCGAAGTGCTCTCAAAGGAATTTTTCTCCCCATCCCTGCCCCCGCGGGGAGAAATTTCCCATCTTTGAGGCCCCGAATGAAAAAATTCCCGCAGAGATCCCGCTAACATATGCAAATTGACATCCCTAGTGACAGACTCAAATAATACACAGCGGCAATGACGTTACAGCAGCGACTGCAACAAACAGGCACTACCATAAATGCTGCAAACAGGCACTACAGTAAATCCAGTAGGATGGAAAAAGCCGGTCCATGAATGGATTTGTATAAATACGGATGGCGCAGTAACTACCAGCAACGTTACGGAATGCGAGTGCATAGCAAGGAATAGCAATGGCGATTGACTTTATGGAGTGGCCAAGAATATAGCGCATTGCAATGTGTATGCTGCAGAATTATGGGGTGTGTACAAAGGGATAAAGCTTGCTAGAGCAAAAGAGCCCATCATGGAATCTAATCCGCAAAATCAAGGCGCAAATGGACGGTATCCAGGAACTCAAGCTGGTCAAAATTTTGCGTTCTTATAACCGATGTGCTAATACGTTAGTAAAGTTTTGCTTAAGTCTTCAAAGAGACATGAGAATATTTAGGCTAGTTTTATGTACAATCTTCTTTTAGAAGATAAAAGAGGTATAGGCTTTGGGCTTTGGCCTACCAATTCAAAAAAAAAAAATCAATCTTATTTTAATTTAAGCTAAACTTTGAAATGATGTAAACGCTTGTTTCCCCTCACAATAATTTCTCTTTGATCAACCTTTGATACAAACTTAATAGCATTGTGACAGTCTACACAAATGCGTAGATTTTTGCAAACCCTCAATGTGGTACCTTTAGCCGTATTCAATAAACCAAAAGAAATTGCAAGCTTCTCACTATGGTTTCTCAGTATGTTAATCTTTTCCTCTTTTTCTAGTTCATGAAGCACACAACTTGTGTCAGGTTTATATCCAATTTTGTTTATTTTTTTCTCCAATTTAGTCCAAATATGTTGAATTTTCTTTCATTCCAAAAGAGATTCATCACCAGCAAGAAATCTATAAACCTTTCCTCCTATTTCAATCCAACTACAGCCTGCATCTTTCTGAAGGCCAATATCCTTCATTCTCTGCCTCACTTTTCTCACCTCATCCCATTTTCCTAATCTAGCATACAAGTTTGATATCAATACATAATTCTTAGGTTTGCCTGGTCCCAATTCTAATAACTTTTTAGCAACTTCCTCTCCAATATCCAAATCACCGTAATTTCTACAAGAACTGAGCAACGAAATCCAAATCCCGGAATCGGGTTTGTCTGGAAGCTCGTTCACAAGCTTCATAGCTTCATTCAATCGTCCTGCACGACCAAGCATATCAACAACACATGCATAATGCTCTAGTTTTGGCTTTATACCAAACAAACTCTGCATCTGAGCAAGATATTCTAACCCTTCTGCTACTAAACCTGCATGGTTACAAGCCGTTAACAATCCTATAAACGTGATAGAATCTGGTCTGCAGCCCGCACTTTGCATTGACTTAAATAGCTCTATAGCCTTCGGTCCATGACCATTAATTCCATATCCTGCAATTAAAACGTTCCATAACACATTGTCTTTCTGATTTACGCTGTCAAAAATGTTCTGAGATTGTTCTATGCATCCACATTTTGCATACATGTCTATCAACGAACAAGTAACAAAGTTGTCTCTTGTGAGATGAGCTTTCATTGCAAAGCAGTGAAGTTCTTTACCCAGTCGCAACGCCGACACCTGCGAACAAGCTCCCAAAGCACCCATTATGGAAATCTCATCAGGCCAAACCTTACTTGAAAGCATTTGACGAAACATATCAAGGGCGTCGCAAGGGAGCTTGTTCTGTGAAGAGCCAGTTATAACAGTATTCCAGCACACCAAACTTTTCTCTTCCATATCATCAAAAAACAGTTTTGCTTGTAACATTTTCCCACATTGAACATAAAGCGACACTATCGATATCCCAATGAATTCATCGAGTTCGAAACCATTACGGATCATAAAACCATGAATCTCTTTCCCATAAGACAGGGATTTCAGTCGAGCACAAGCCAAAAGAAGACTACCAATTGTAAAGCAATCAGGATCCAAGCCAGAATCTCTCATCAAAAGGTACAAATCCAAAGCCTTTCCAGGAAAACCATTCTGCGCATGACCGCCAATCACCGCATTCCAAGAACTCACTGTTTTCAACTCCATACCAGCAAACACACCCTCCGCATAATCCAGTGAACCACACTTTGCATATCCAGCGACCAAAGCATTGGCAACCAATTCATCACTCCGAAGGAATCCATGCCTTAAAGAATAACCATGAATCTCCTTCAATTTCAAAAACTGAATCTCTTCCACACAAACCGGTAAAACATTCAACAGAGTCACCTCATCCACTCTTACCTTCTCTTCCATCTGCATGTTCCTTAACAACTCAAAAGTTCTGCGAAAATCTCCTTCCTTAGAGTATCCCCCGATCATAGAATTCCACGAAATAACACTCTTCTCCTTATTGAAATCAAACAGAACTCGTGCTTCACATAAGTAACCGCATTTCGAATACATATCCATGAGAGAATTATTCACCTTCAATTCTCCAACAAGGCCAAGTTTCAAAGCCAAACCATGAAGCAACATCCCCAGTTCAACTTCACCTTGTGCTGCACACAAAGGTATCATTGTCACCATCGTAGCAACATCAGGCGCCAAACCTTCATCACCAATCATAAACCTCTTAAACAAACCACAACTCTCTTCAAAAACACCATTCTCAGAATACGCATGCATAATCGAGTTCCACGAAACCAAGTTTCTCTCAGGCATTCTATCAAACACCTTAAGTGCACTCTCCACAAACCCAAACTTCCCATACATAGCAACAAACGCATTCCCAACAAACACGTCGGAGAAAAGCTTCGTCTTCAACGCAAACGCGTGAATCACTTCTCCGAGTTTAACATCAGAGAGCCCCGCACACGCCTTAATAACACACGGCAACGTGAAGTTATCAGGCAAAAACTCTGTCAAAGAAATTAATTCCACAAACAACAAAACAGCATCGCGGAAAAGCTCGTTCCTGGAGTAAGCGCTGAGAAGCGCGTTCCAGAGGACGAGATTCTTTCTTCGCAACGCATCGAAGACATAACGGGAGTCATAGGGAAAGCCACAATTAGAGTACATGGTGAGAATGCTAGTGATGAGAACGATGTCGTTTCGGAAAACGGATGACGCGGAAACAAAGGTGTGTAATCTTCGAGCGAGTTTGATGTTTTTGTGGCGACCGCATGCTTGTAGTATGATGGCAATAGTTTCTTGTGGTTTAAGGTTAGAGGATGAAATGATGTCGTTGAGATTTGACTGAAGGAAGTTGAAGGCTTGATTGAGGTTTCCGGTATTGCAGAGATTGTGAAAATGTTGGAAAGGTTGTTTAGGTGCATTTTCATGGGTTGAGATTGTGGGAGTAGAATACGAATGCTTAATCGAGTTCCACGAAACCAAGTTTCTCTCAGGCATTCTATCAAACACCTTAAGTGCACTATCCACAAACCCAAACTTCCCATACATAGCAACAAACGCGTTCCCAACAAACACATCAGAGAAAAGCTTCGTCTTCAACGCAAACGCGTGAATAGCTTCTCCGAGTTTAACATCAGAGAGCCCCGCACACGCCTTAATAACACACGGCAACGTGAAGTTATCGGGCAAAAACTCCGTCGAAGAAATTAACTCCACAAACAACAAAACTGCGTCGCGGAAAAGCTCGTTACTGGAGTAAGCGCTGAGAAGCGCGTTCCAGAGGACGAGATTATTTTTCCGCGACTCGTCGAAGACGAAACGGGAATCAGAGGGAAAGCCACAGTTAGAGTACATGGTGAGAATGCGAGTGATGAGAACGACGTCGTTTCGGAAAACGGATGACGTGGAAACAAAGGCGTGTACTCTTCGAGCGAGTTCGATGTTTTTGTGGCGTCCGCATGCTTGTAGTATGATGGCAATAGCTTTTTGTGATTTAATGTTAGAGGGTGAAACGACGTCGTTGAGATTTGATTGAAGGAAGTTGAAGGCTTCATTGAGGTTTCCGGTATTGCAGAGATTGCGAAGATGTTGGAGAGGAAAAGGTTGTTTTGGCGCATTTTCATGGGTTGAGATTGTGGGAGCAGATAAGAGGGATGAACATGGAGGTGTGAATGAACCAAGAGGGTTTTTTGTTTTGTTGTTGTTGTTGATGTTTAGACTTCTAATGGTTCTGTTGTGAAGGGTGAGGTTATCGTTGTGAAATGAGAATGATAGATGTGGTGGAGGCGACGCCGAAATCATTGCTACACTTCACTCGAATCAAGTAACTAACAGTTACAGAATCTAGACTTAAACATAAATTCTTAAGAGAAAGGAGAGGAGATAATAAGAGAAAAAAGTAAAAAAAACATTTAAAAAAATAACAATAAAATTATAAAATTATAATTCTCTCTGCACTACATTAGGGAAATGGAAATCTCTCCAATGAAAGAATTTATTTATTTTTTAGTTTATAGAAGATGTTATTTTTTTAATTTTGGTTTAACGACACTTTTTAGTACGGTTGAAATTTCAACTAAATAAGTAAAAAAAATTAAAAATGTTGGTGTTGAGATTCGAACCCATGACCAAACGTTATTTTTCATTATAGTTGAAATTCCAACTGTGGTGAAAAGTGGCTTAAAAATAAGTAAAAGATCAAAAATGTTGGTGTTGAGATTTGGACTCATGACCAGTCGTCATTTTTCACCACGGTTGGAATCCCAATCGTGATTAAAAGTGACGACTTCCTACGTTTCATCATGATTGTTATTAAGGACGGTAGTGAAAAACATTTTAATAAAATAAAAAATGTATGTGCCTAAATATCACTTATCACTTTGATTGATTGAATAGTTGAGGAAATAACATGTTACGAAAAGTGTGTTTTATAGTAATGTTGTCACAATGCATTAGCCTACACACGAATTCAATGACAATTCCTTATGTTGATGTAAGTATTTAACTGCTACATATAAGATTCTCAATGATCTTGATCCAATAATCTTGTTATCCACAATAACCTACTCAAAGCTTCCTTTCTACAACATTATTTCCTCAAGTATGGCAAAGACTTGTCTGAGCTATTGCCATCAGCCTCGTTTAATTGAATAACTCTCAACTTTGTTATGTGACAACCTTCACATGGTTTCACCAAATTTTTCAATGGAGTATAGAGACATTCATCTCTCTTTGTGATTAACACACAACCAAAATTCATATCTAATAAACGATTGTTCCACCTGATATACAAGAGCATAACTTCAAAGAAAAACATTAGATTCTCTAATGTACCTTTTATCTACCTTTCATACTCAATCTTTAGAGTTGAAGATCCTCTACAATGGTTTTTGACAAAGGTTGAAGATCGTGAATAATGTTTGAAGAATGTCACACACACAACTAAAATTTCCAAGATCTACATTCTAGGAGGTTAATCACAAGGTAACAACAAGGAATTAGGGAATGCACTATAAGTTCTCTCAAGGTTCTTAGAAAAAATGGGTTTTTCGGTTCTTAGGCGATTGTTCTAAGATTGATCAATCCTTTTACTTTCTCTGTGTATCTTGGTCTTCAACAAGAACACAAGAACAACAATGATTATAGAGATGTGAATCCTCACACTTTTTCTGAGTTTTTCTCTTAAGGGTGACACACACTCTCTCATTGACAAAAAGGAAAAAGATGAATAATGATGCAAGAGGGTAAACATGCTCTCTTGGGAATGCTTCTATCAACTAATGAAGACAAAAGGTCTTTATCAAAACATTAAGTAATGATTCGAATTAAAGAGATAATCAACTTGAATCAAAGTTTAGAAAGAGGGGGAAAAAGATCATGTTTTGAGTCATGTATACCTCATGATTTGACTCAAAGAAGTTGTGATTTGAATCATACTTTGCTTTGATTCGACTCAAATTAGGCAGGGTTAAATCCCACCTTTCAGGATGTTCCATTATTCGAGTCACAGATATGTATGATTTGAATCATACACCCTTACAACCTTGATTCAAGTGTTGTAACTTGTGATTCAAGCAAAACTTGTGGATTTTACAACAAACCAATTGCTAGGCTTAAAAAGGAGATACAAACATGGACTACAATAACTAAGTTAATGAATCAAAAGGTTTATGAAAGGTACAAAGACTTAAATAGCCAAAGCAAAGGAACACAAATACAACATTATTATTCTAAGTGAATTACAATAACAATGCTACAACAATAATGCATATAAATTCACATAATGAAGAAGGATACAAACATGCGATAAATCAAATAATATACTGCACACATAAATTGGAAAATAATCAAAACTATAAGTGATACCGATGATGACTGCAATTTCATATTAATGTTATGTTCGTGGCGGATTTGTCCTTTGTTCAAAACCTCCCTAAGGGAGACAAGATGAAGCTTTTTTGTGAGGCCACCTGCTACACTTATCATATACATAATGTAATATGTTATTACCTCCGTTATTAAGTCAATTGAAGTAATATCTCTTATTTAGGCACCTGAATTTTTATTTCTTTGATTTAAATATTTGTCATTATGGTCCATATTAGAAACCGTAGTGATATGCTAAGACTTACAGGCTTTAATCCCAACACCAGTAGTTTTCCTTTTTTTGGTTACAAAATGGGCGTCTCACTTATAATATTAATATTTATATTAAAAATAAAATATCTTTCACCATAGTCTAAAATAGCAACCGTTATGAAAAGTACATACATTTAATCACAACTGTTTTTATCAATCGCAATGAAAAGTATAAATTATATTTAAGCGTAAGTTCGCTCTTTCGTGACAAAGAAAACGTCTTTCTCTTAAAAAAACACTAACGCTCTCTCACGCCTTATCCTTACTCCATGAACGGTTGCATATCACTTCTTCATAAAAATCCAACATATCCTCTTCAACTCTTATGGATCAAGAAAATGTGTTACACAAAATACATTTCTTTCACTTCTTCTTCACATTTCAGGTACGTAAACATTTCTACCTTTCACTTCCTCTTCACATTTTTGTTGATAAAATTATCATGTTATTGATGATTTTGTTTTTTTTATAAAAGTTGTATGTTGTTTAGGGTATGTTTTTGATGATAAAAGTTATATGTTATTGATGTTTTTGTTTTTTTAGCTATGTTGTATGTTGTTTAAGGTATGTTGTTGTTGATAAAAGTTATATGTTTTTGATGATTTTGTTTTTGTTGATAAAAGTTGTATGTTGTTTAGGGTATGTTGTCGATGATAAAAGTTGTATGTTGCTGATGATTTTGTTTTTGTTTAGTTATATTGTATGTTGTTTAAGGTATGTTGTTGTTGATAAAAATTCTATATTATTGTACATTGCAGCTTTCATTACATTTAGTCAACATGTCACAGGAGATGAGTTTATTACATCGTATGTGGTTTGTGTGTTTTTCCAACCCCTTACTGAATTATACAACCTTCGAATTGAATCTAAAAAATTATAATATGATTTGTTAAGTTATATTAGAAAAACAATTTACACTTATCAATATTTTACGAACTTTTTGCAGTCTAATATTTGTATCTTGCTCTTTAATGGTTAGAACTTGATTCAATGCTTCTAGAGGTGAAGAAATTATTAGCAAAATAACTAGAAGCATCAAATCAAGTTCTAATCATTAAAGAGAATAATAAGGGTAATGGGTTGTAAAAAGCTCGTACAACATTTATTAGTGCAACTTGTTCTTCTAATATAACTTAATTTGTCATATTATTGATTTCTAAATCAGATTAAAAAATTATATGTTTAGTAAATAGTTGGTGAAATAAGCATTCAACATAAGTTATAGTGAACTTAAGTAAGCATATCACCACAGTTGGAGTCTCGAACCTTAGTGGAATATTGTGAGTTAAGTCTTTTTCCATGGTTGGGATATAAAATTGTGGTGAAATGTATTAAAATTTGTAAAAATCATGGCACTTGGTATCGAAGCTTTGACCTCAAATTTTTACTATGATTTTTTTGTACAACCGTAGTGGATGTTACACGTTAATGTGTTTTTACCACGGTTAGTAGCTCGTGGTGGTAAAAATGGCATATACAACAACACCTTAATTTACTATGGACCACCATCTGTATTAGAATCTTTCTCCTAATTATGGTAAGATATGTAATTCGTAGTAGTTATTTCTAAGACTTTTTAGGATGAGGCAAAGGTCTACGTCTCTCCCTCCACTTTGGCTCCACTTTGGCTGCCTGAATTACTGAGTTGGAGTCTTCCTTGGAAGCAAAGAGAAAGTCCCGTCAGGAGACAAACGATTTTGTTATGGAGGCCAATAGTCGCGCTAAGTAGGCTCAGAAAGCTCTTCAATAAAATAAAGAGTCTCATGTTGAAGACTAGAGAGTTTACGACGGCCAAGTGGCTGATTTGAATTAGAGAGTTCATGAGTCTCTTTAGAAGACTTTGAAGAACATGTATGTGGATCTAGATCAAGCAATGGACCAAGCTAAAGAATTTTTTTCTCGACGTCTCTATCCCCAGCACAGAACTGGACCTATTCAAGGTTGTTTAAGATGGAGTGTTGTTGGACGATCGCGGTGCAACCACTCAGAGTGAGGAAGCTTGATTTTATTTTTCCTTCTTTTTTTTAATGTTAGTTGAGCTTTCATGCCTTTGAAAAAATGATAATATTTATATATACTTACCTTTATGCTTGGTGCCTTTATTTAGACTTTTTTGCTTGAAAGTGGGCTATCTACAATCTGAAACAAGCTCCTAGAATTTAGTTCGGTAATCTGAAAAGTTTTCTGCTTGAAAACAAGTTTCTAAGAAAGAATAAACATGTAACGTTTTTCAAAACAAGCATTTCCTTCTCGTGCGTGCTCTTTTTGTCTATTCGATGCAACTAATGAATCATTATGCAAGGATGTTTTTTATACGATGTAGAGTAAAATTGAAAGATGGGTGAGCCTTTTATACTTTCTTAGGTATACAATAAGAAGTGATTACGTGGTAGCACTTTTCAATCCTGATGTATTTTATTGAGATGTTGAAGGTTTTTTTAACGGAATTATCCAAGGGGTTAATGTTGATGGTATCATTCAACGGTTGGGATCACAGAACCTCTTAAAAGGTTAAGGTGATAAATTTGTAATAGATGTATCAATCATGTAGTTTGACCAACTTTCGTATCAAAGGATTTTTAGAGAAGAAATATTGACAGTGGTTTGTCGTTCCCTCAAAAGGGGGAGTTTTCTCAAATTATCTTGAGGTTTTGAGGTAGTAC